CTCCCTATGGGGTGTACACTGTTTCCTCGCGCTTAACTTCTTATCAACTTCCTTCAGGATGCCGGTGGAAACACTCCTGACTCCCGACATAATGGTGGTACTCGGGGACCCATCCTTCCCTCCACACATCGGATATTTAGACATAATAAGTACCGGTTTAAGGTGTGGTAAATAACGTGGCGCCAGAGGCGCCATCTCGCGTCAATCCGAGAAAATACACTTATTCAGGTCTATGGATTAAAGCAAAAAAAAATACACTATATACAATATCTTGACAATATCTATACCACCGGTTAGGGTGGAATCTAGACTGCAAATCTAGTCAGAGAGTGATTTTTTGTCAAGCGTGTCATTGTCGCGATGTGTGGGGGAAAAGGACGGCGTCTGAAGCAAAGGGAGATGCATGATAGAGGCATTATCCTTTGCGTGGGTTTATCTCACTTAAATATTTTACCTGTGGCTAGGGCAGACCCTAGACTACAAATTATGTTCAGGCAGAATTTTTCGTACACAAAAATATTTTCGACTATTTCCTCTTTCTTCGTTCCGTCGGGAGGCGCCAGGTAACAACTGGTGCTATCGTGCTCCGTAACAAAGGGCAGATTCCGGTTAGTTCTTCGCGATCGCAGCAGACGAGAACGCGCCTTGAACCTCTCCCTGTTCGACGTCTCCACGCTAGAAAATTGCCGATGACACAAAAATAGGTTTTTCTATAAGGAGAGAGGCGGATACGACTAGAGCCGAGTGAGATTTGAGTCGTTTGGATGAGTGGAGCAAGAAATGGCTCATGAGGTTTAATAAAATTAAATGTAAAGTTCTCTACGTCGGTCGAAGTAACGATAGGTCTCTCGACGCGTTTGACGAGGATAAACTGCGGGGAGCAAACGGAAAGAAAGATTTAGGAGTTTCTATCGACGATGACCTCGAGTTTCCCTCGCACGCGCAAGCGACGGTGGCCAAATGTAACATGATTCTAGGATTCAATCGACATTCAGTTGCAAGTAGGAACTCGCGCGTTATTCTTCCGTTGTATGCGGCGCTGGTAAGACCCCAGTTGGAATATTTAATCCAGTTTTGGAGACCTGCAAATAAGGATGAATTGGAGGTGCTCGAGGGAGTACAGAGGAGGGCCACAAGAATGATTAAGGTGGTTAGGTGACTTCCGTACGAGAAGCGTTTAGAAGTTCTGGGACAGTACTAGCTCGAGAGAAGGTTAAGGAGGGGCGGTCTCATCCAGATATTTGAGCTAATTAAAGGAATAGATAACGTAAAGCGTGGTAGGTTCTTCCAATTCGATGGCAGCAAGAGAATGAGGGGTAAGACAATAGTAGACAATATCCACAGTATTCCCTGTGTCCATCTCAACAAATTTCCAATCACTAGTCACTTTTTCATGTAAAAATGCTTGTCTTGAAAGTGATTCACAAAAGTTATCAATATTTCCCAAACAAGTCCCAAGTCCCAACTTCCCACTTCAATGACCTCATAGCTGTCTGATATTCTCCATATTTCACTTGATCAACGGTGCACCTATATGAATGCCATTTTTGCTTCTTACAGCTGATTGGCAACTTTACTTCACCTATAAACCAAATCAACTTTCTGAGCACTCTCTTCAACTTCTTAGGCATGCAAACCTCCATACAAAATTCTAGAGCCATCTTGGAATTTCTCATTGCTCCTCTGCCATTCACCCTCATAGTCTCCTTGGTGGTGCTGGAATAGGGCTCCTAAGAGTCGTAGCAGTGTATAGGATTCTAATATCGCTTTCTTCTTTCATGTGATTCAGGTGTCATCAGTGGCTCAGCTGTGCCTGGATCCCCAATATCGTACCATAAAAGGTTTTCGTGTCTTGATTGAGAAAGAATGGATTGCATTTGGACATCGCTTCAACCACCGTGGGAATCTCTGTGCAGATAGCCAAACATCTTTTGCCCCAATCTTCCTCCAGTTCCTAGATGTCATCCACCAGGTCTGTGATTTAGGTTGTTTGTTGCAAATGCAAAAATATTTTGCCATGAATCAGCAATGATTTGTGTTCACTTTTCTTATTCGTACAGATACATAACCAGTTCCCGATGGCATTTGAATTCAACCAGTTCTACCTGAAATTCTTGGCATACCACAGCATCTCAGCACGATTCCGTACATTCCTGTTCAACTCAGAATTGGATCACGGAGGCTGGGGAGGGATGGACAAGGAATCTCGAAGAATATCCTGGGTGGGAAGTGGCATACGAAATTCTCAGGATTCTGGAGCCAACTCTGATGATGAACTAAATACCACCAGGAGACAGAGATAACCTTGGCTCTTTTTCGTAGATGCAATCGAGCTGCCATCTTCAGAAGGAGCCAAGATAGCAGATGAGCCAATGACAGCAGCATCAATCACAGCCTTATACTTGGGACAATTCTTTGTGACAGCATCCATGCACTTTTCGTGGCAATTCAAGCCACAATCCATGCATCTTGTCCCCGTCTGCAATTAGACAACTTCAATCTGCCTCATTGAATGAAATGAATCCATGAAAGGAGGCTAGAGAAACTCACTTTAACAATGCCCCAGAGCAAGTGATTGCAGTGGTCACAGTGTGTTGGAGCAGTATAATTGTACTTCTCAAAGCGGTGAGGCTGAGAATACATTTGCTGATTGTCTTGCCCCCCACTGGCCATCTTTCCTCGGATCAAGATTTCAATTGTTGAGCGCTTGTGCAAGAATCTCCCATAGGAACGAAGGACTGAGGAGGTCAATGCCTCTTGCCGCTAGAGGGTGAAAAAAAAATTAATATCAAGTGGAACATTCCTTATTCAATAATTGGCTGTAAAAATATAAGGCTCTGTTCTTGCAGGGAGAGTGGAGGTAAGGGGTAGCTCCAATCGGTCCCAAATGGTGTGCCATGGCTGCACAGATATATGTCCCAGTTCTGCTTCCAACTTGCAGGTCTCATCCAGCATGAATGAAAACACATTTGGAACAGCCAGCTCGCAGCAGTCATATCTATTTCACAAGGATTCAGAGGATGTTAGAGTTAGTTGGAAATTCTTTCTTTGTGCAACCAAATTGTAAAATAACTCCATAGAAGGTATCCCATGACTAATCAAGAGCTACAGGGGAGCTACAATCAGAAGTTGCTACTCCTAGTCAAGCCCCCCTTGGTTGAGCAAAGTTCTTTTCTCTATTCTGTTCTCATTCTTTGAGCTGAAGTGGACTAGAAGGGGCAGACAATGCATTGGAGGCACGATCATCAGGCAGCATACAGAAGTGGATATAAAGGACACAAGATATAAAATCCCATTAGAAGAGGGACAGTAATCCCTTTAAAATCCTGCACTATGGAACTCAATGTCATAGGGTAGAAGAGATAATAGAGCAGTAGAGCAAAACTCACCAGGGCATAGCAGACCAGGCTCCAAGGAAACATGCCAAAATTGTATCTTCAATAGCATACATATTTATGTTATTTTGAGAATTGAAATAATTGCATATAGAAAGTAGTTGAATAATCACTGCCCATATGCCCATCAAAATGCCCCATATTGTATGGATGAGCCTGGTAAACCTCTCCCCTCCAGGCTCTAGGTTAATATTCTTAAGTTCTAGCAATTTCATGGCTGCATGGTAGGTCAAGGACAGCTTTTTACACACATTAAGTCATAAGCACCCTTACTCAGGGCACAGTTTGTTGCAGATGCACATTAGCACACTTTCCTTATCATGAAGAAATAATAGTCTCTGGGATGAACTACTATGATCACTTCTCACCCAAGCAAGACAATGAGAGATTTGCTGCATGGAATCAATAAAATGCCCCTTTTGCCAACTGCTGTCCTGGAGTTACAAACAACATCAGAAATTAAAAACTGAAGGGCACACTGTGGTTGACAGTCAGATTTCCTGTGGCATTATATCTACTCATCATGACATGGATACATGATTCCAAGTTGCATTATTTTTGTTTCATTGGCATTTTTTCCCTGATGGAACATTTCATTTTCACAAGAGAGCTGACCTAGATCAATGACCAAAGCTTTTACAGATTTCATCTAGGAAAAGTATACACAACTCTTTTTTGCCATGGCTAACATTTCAGCCACAAAATCCTCTTGTTGCTGGTTCCTCAAAGGATGAAAGGGATGAAAAGCAAAAGCATATGGGCAATAATTAGTAAAATGCTGCATTTTCAGCAAAAACACGAGTGACACTTTCACACATCCCTTGCCAGGAACTGTGGCACTAAGTGGGCTAATATGAATCAAGAGAAAGACCAACCACGACTGGGTCAGATACAGTCACAAGAAACTTGCTGGTCACAGTAGTTCTGGCCCTTGAATGGTTAAAGCAAAGGCAAAAGGGTCAGAATATCCTGTCATCCTTTGATGTGGAAAAACTACAGACTTCAAGCAGCCTCAACATGTGGTCCCATGTCAGAAAATGTCCTTTCTGTTTTTTGCTGTTCAGAACAGAAAGGAGCAAAACCAAAGTAGAATCTGCTGAAGGTGTAGATACAGAATGATCAGGTAACCAAGAAACAGAACAAAGATACATTAACCATGGTGAATCAAAAAATCAACCAAAAGGGTTCAGAGACAGGTGATGTAGCTCAAGTACAGGACCCTGCACCCAGGGCATCTCCTGTAAGGAACAGGTTGACTATTAGAACACATATGAGTATCAATTCATGGAGTCCCCAGAAGTCTGCATCTCACCCTGAAGTAGATTCATTTGCTTTTAGGCTGATTAACATCAAGTGGGTTCATTCCATCATGAAAAACATTCTGCATGGAACATGGGAGAGAGCTTAAAATATGCCGTAGAAACAAGTACCTTGTTATGCTCAATTAACCTCCTTAGCATTTACCCTGTGGCTGTCTCAGGGTGAAGAGTCCCATCAACTGCAAATAAAATATTTTGACAACTTTTAACCAAAATATCATCACTCATGATGAAGCTATCTTTCCTAAACTTTCATGATGCATACAGGACAACACTTCCAAACATATTCTCAAAGTTTTCTTAGAATTTGTTGAGCTGAAGCAATACCATCAGCAAATATTGAAAAGATGTCTCTGAATTAGAAGATGATTCTCAATGTCTAACTTATTTTCAATAATTGCTGATGGTATTGTTTCAGCTCTACAAACTCTAACAAAATTTTGAGAATAAGTTGGAAACATTCTAATATGTGCATATTGAAAGTTTTGCAAAAATAGCTCCATTATGGGTGGAGAAATTTATGTTAAAAGTTGTCAGTCATTTTTTGCCATAGCTGGAAATATGTTGTATGCACAGGGTGATTCAAAAGTCACCTACATTATTTTTGGTGCCATATATGGTATCAATCGATTTGTCTGCTCCTCCTGAGCATTTTGGTATAATAGTGCGGGGCAAAAGATACTTCGGAAGGAACGACCAAAAAAGAGTTATATTTAGCGTAACATTTTGTGACTCTTGGGTCACTCCACACCAAATTGACCAGAGGATGAACTCAACCATCTTCGATTTTAATAAAAGTCAGTATGCATGTAGAGGAATTGATTATAAGAAAATAAATTCCACAATTTTTATCTCGCTCCGATCTCGAGATATATGCATTTGAGTGTCACCTACTTTTGGCTCCTGGTGCCTCCATTATTTTCCGAAGCTGAAACAAGAACTTCCACTACCAATCAAACAGTTTAAGTAGAAGAATAATGTCTTAGAATAATCTATAATCTAAAGATGGCAGTTTCATAATTAAAATGACACCATAACAAAGCTTATATCTCAAGTAGAAGAGAAGTTATTGCAAATATGGTCTCACAATTCCGGTCCATATAGGCACCAGAAGCCAAAAATAGGTGACACTCAAATGCATATATCTTGAGATCGGAGCGAGATAAAAATAGTGGAATAATAAATTCCATTATTTTTATCTCGCTTATAATCAATCAATCTTATAATCAATTCCTCTACATGCATACCGATTTTTGTCAAAATCGAAGATGGTTGAGTTCATCCTCTGGTTAATTTGGTGTGGAGTGACCCAAGAGTCATGATATGTTACACTAATTATGGCTCTTTTTCAGTCGTTCCTTCCGAAGTATCTTTTGGCCCACACTAATATTATACCAAACTACTCAGGAGAAGCAGACAAATCAATTGATACCATATATGGCACCAAAAAATAATGTGGGTGACTTTTGAATCACCCTGTATTATATAAAGCAGTGATGCACAACCCACAGCAACCTTTGCTACAGCCCCTAGGGTGCCTCTGGTCTCTAAAAATACATATTCACATCTCCAAATTCATAAATAAATATAAATTTAAAATTTAAATAGTCCACCACCTCCTCCCAGGAGGATTTGAGTAGACATGGACATTACTGTACCATGGAAGGAGTGAGTAAGGTACACTATTTTCAGTGTGACTGTACCTTGCACATATCAGTCAGGCCGCATTTGGTGCAGTATATAACAAGATTTTGTAAAGTCACACTGGGTTCGAGATTGTTCGAGAAGCAACCTCGGATTTTTCTAGAAGCAATCTCTGAGTGTCCCCTTCTTAAAAGTTCTAAAAAATATAACACCTAATGATTGCCATTTAGAGGGCAGTCTTGCATGCCATTGTCATGCAGGCGGGGAAAACTGAGTGACATAGATAAATGTAGGTTCAGGACCATACCACATGCAAACAAGATTTAATGTGGCAGAGAAAGAGGGGTAACTGAATAATTTAATTTAATAATGGTAAAAAAAATATAGGAAATATCCTCCAAAGGAGGTCACAGGGCTGAGGATGTGAGATAGGAGAGAAGGGACAAAATGTCCTGTGCCTCAATTGAGATTCTGGTTGATGTCAGGGAAAAGAAATGCAGCAGAGATAACACTCAAGCTCGAGTTTAGAAAGTAGATTCAGATTTTCAGTTGGAATTAATTGATCTCCAAAGCAGCAATCCAGTTCAATTAAAGTTCAGGGAGGGAAATTTGCTGAATTTCTATGAGAGCCTACCAAAGGAAAGATATTTTAACCAGCAAAATGAAGTTGCTCTCTGTGCAGGCCTTTCCAAAAATACCTATGTCTGTGAACAGGCCTTTTCTGTGATGACCTTAAACAAGATGAAACATTGGAACCAGCTCACAGATGAAAACCTTCAGGCAATCATGTACATATCAACTTCTTCCTTTCAACCATATTTAGGTCCATCAAAAGCAATGCTAAATGTCTCAATAACTATTTAAGTCAGGAATTTTTTCAACCTCATTTCAGAATTAGTGGATTTTTGCAAAGGTGTTTTTAAGTGCTGGTATCACCAAATATAATGTCATATATATCAGACTGTTGGAAATTGGACACACGAAATGAACAAACAACATTTGGAAATAATTGAAAAGGAGTTTTGCTGTAGCAACAAAATAATTATCATGTAATAATAATTGTGTTGGGATATTGACTGCTGTGAGCAGTCACATGGGTTAAATGAGTTAATAACATTAAATAAAGTAATTGATTGATAAATAAATGGGTACTGCAGACACGATCCTTGGTGGTATCTGTGGCACTCAAACATGAGCCAAAACTCAATTTGACCCTTTATGAGGAAAAAGTTGTGCACCACTGAAATAGAGCAATTAAATGCAACATTTTCCTCTATGGTTACATAAGCATTGTATGAATGTATGTCCCCAAAGACAACTTCGGCAAGAGAAAAACTTGCAAAACCAGAAAGACACTGGCAAGAGAAAGGAAGAGTGCTGAAGTTAACATAAGAAAAGGAGCACCAAGGTGGTTAAACGTGTCTGAGTTGAAAAGTCAGACATGGGTCCTGAGTTGGAATATAAAATTTAAAAAATGATTGCTGTGTGATGTAGGCATACAATAGGGCATAATGTAGAGGAACATATCACTTGCAGAAACAATGGGATATTAATCATAGATGTGGTGAAAATGTAGGCAGGCATTTGTGAAGGTCATCTTCCCAGGAATTAGGATGAGGAGGAATAAGTAATATTGACAAACAGAACATGATGATGGGATACACAATGATGTAGGATAGTTGGTTTTATACCCAAGGAAATGCTACAGGGACTATTGACACAGGCAAGAAAAGTGTGCAGGCAAAAAAAACATCTGAATTCAATAATGAACGTGCGACACATGAGAAACATAGAACAGTTACAGAAATCATGCCCTAGTGAGAGGACCAAACAATCTAAAGATAAGTGAGTATTTCCATTCAAAAAAGTAACACATCCAGAAAAGGTAATCCCGATCCCTCTGATTTTTATGAGGTTTCGAGTGCTGGTTCCATTCATGATTACCTGAAGGCATGCTTCCTACTTACAGTTTAAGGACAAAATGTAAATAAGAAAATACTTAAGTTCTTTGCACTTGTTTGGTGCTGGAAACACCTTCCAGTGGAGGTGCAAAATTACTTTGAGAAGAAACATCAGTAAGGGTAACTCTATATAAGGAATGCAAGAAAGTTGGAATATGGAGACAGTCACCCTGTGAGGAGGGACTTGCGAGAGCGGATTGAACCATCTGCTGCTGCCATCTCTTCCTGCAATAGGTGGTCTGCTTCCAAGAGTTCCAAGTCATATGGAGGACCACTTCGAAGGCACTCATCCGTGTAGAAAGACCATAACTCCAAATGTGATAACTGACTATATGGTCTCAGTACCTAGAGAGGTTAAATATGACTTAGAGATTAGTGTAGTCCAGATGAAAAAAGTTTCAGTACATTCTGCCAATGCTAATAATACCTCTTCATCAGTATCCATGCAATACAAGAAATTGTAGAAGATGGAGGAAGTGGCAGACTTCTTCTCAATGTAGTCAAACACTGAATGGATGGACTTCCCTGACACAGTGCCACGATTCAGCTTCCTTATTCCTGGCCCATGGAGATAATCTTGACATCATCCAGGCAGAAATTTCAAACTAGAGTAACAAGAAGTTTGAGTTCAACAGACCTTGGATATTTAGTTCATCATCAGAGTTGGCTCCAGAATCCTGAGAATTTCGTATGCCACTTCCCACCCAGGATATTCTTCGAGATTCCTTGTCCATCCCTCCCCAGCCTCCGTGATCCAATTCTGAGTTGAACAGGAATGTACGGAATCGTGCTGAGATGCTGTGGTATGCCAAGAATTTCAGGTAGAACTGGTTGAATTCAAATGCCATCGGGAACTGGTTATGTATCTGTACGAATAAGAAAAGTGAACACAAATCATTGCTGATTCATGGCAAAATATTTTTGCATTTGCAACAAACAACCTAAATCACAGACCTGGTGGATNTCCAAGTTCCGCGCAAGAGCAGACGACGCTAGCGCTTCTTGATTGGCCTTAGACGGGAAACAATGCCTCGTGCTATCGTGGTCAACAATGGACCGCGGAGGGCTGCCTTGCTTCTTTCTCCTTTATCCATTTACATTTGGCCACCGTCGCTTGTGCATGCGAGGGAAACTTGAGGTCTTCCAGGAAGGTGGGTGTCACCATGGCTGGAGATGGGGAGGATAGTTGACTGGGTGGTTGTTTTTTTTTATAAAAATGGGTCTCAGAATTGTGATGCAGTCGCACAATTATTATAGGCAGTGTCCTGCATATTCCATTCTCTGGTGGTGGTATGGATGTGGGTGATGTTCTACAGTTTTCTTATTATGGCAATAATATTGAAAAATGTAGAAGGGGTCAGTGTGATTATAATGGGTTCCCGGTCAATTCCCTGAATGGTTATTTCCCATTTGGGATTTCCCCAAAGGAAATGGATTTGTTCCCATTTAAGTTTCTTGTCTCATACATCATGCATGGGGGAGTGAGGGGGGGAGGAGATGCGGCCACTCCCCAACAATCCTGGAAGGGAAGAAATCATTAAATTCTTTGCCTCTCACCTAAGGAAACTTTGTTCCTTTAGGGAACATTACTGCCGATACAATGCCAGTCAGATCATCGATAAAGATTCTCATCGGAAAGGGAAAAAGATGAAAAAGGTAACAGAAACGGTTGTAAGATAATCCTCTCGCCCACCAGAGATCAACAAGATGTCTATCAAAATCTAAAATGGGGTTATATATGGAAAAGTTAGGTGGCTTAGGAATGAGATCATTAAGTGGTCAGTGCTTGGACGGTGCGAGAGTTTGTGTATTCATGGAGTTCGTGAAGAGCGAAAAGGGCAAGAATCTTCTTGTTTTTAGGGCTATCTGCTCACACAGAACAAGATCAGCAACGACAGACGAAGAACGTACTGGGAGTGCCTCTATCGAAGATACAAAGGAAACTGCAACTTCAGAGCTACAACTGAAGGAGAGCAGGTTGTCAGCTGGCGAGGACAACATCATCATGCTCCAGAACCTGGGAAATTACAAGCCTGCAAGGTGATCGCAAACATTATGAATGATGCCAAGAGCATGCAACAGAAGACAGGTTAGTGCAATAACATAGTGCAAGTGTATTATTATTTCATTTCCATTCCCAAACATAAATTTACTATCCTGCATTTTCAAAGGAATCAATTACACTGTGTCGAGGTCACAAGTGTAGAACCATTTAATAATTTTTATAAAGAAAAATTTGCACTTCAATGTCTTGTTATCAAATACTTCCGTATCGATTATGCCAGAGAGTGTATGGAATTAATTTGAAGATAAAACATTTCAAATTTTTATTGTATATTTTGAGTATGCTTTCATACCCTACAGCATCCGTTTATTGGAGGGATTCCTTGCATATAAAACCTTGGTTTTATCATACAGTTAGAAGCCTTGAAGCAAGCCGATGGGAAAAAGCCAATGGCTCTTATTGCATCATTCCAGGGCAAATTCTACAGGCGAATTTGATGGGACTGAATACTGAGGCCCAAGTAGCCTTTCCAGATGCAAATTTTCTCGTACAACAGGTGCGCCGACATTGGGAGGAGAACATGCCCTCTGATCCCCCAACAAGAACTCAGATTGTGATTCCGACTGCGTACAAAAACACCATCTCTGCAGCACCACAATGCTTCTTATTGTGGAACAGCCAAGATGCCGAATGGATACTCATGTTTTCAACGACTGAGAACTTGCGGCTCTTATCCGCATGCCAAGATTGGTACATGGATGGCACTTTCAAGACGACTCCAAGGCAATACATGCAGATGTATAGCATCCACAGGCATTTTCATGGAGAAATCACCCCACTTGTATACACTCTTCTACCAGGGAAAGATGAGCAACTTTACATCAGGATGCTGGAGCACCTTCGTTTTCAGCATAGAATTGCTGCACCTCATAGTGTTCCAACTGATTTTGAGAAGGTTGCTCAGAATGCCCTGGAACGCGTGCTTCCAGGTGTGCAGTTGCATGGTTGTCATTTCCATATCGTGCAAAGTGTATGGAGAAAGATTCAAGATTCTGGTCTGAAGCCACGTTATGAAAATGATCCTGCAAATGAAGTTGCTTCCTGCACTCAGTTTTGTGCCACCAGCAAAGGTGGAAGACGCATTCAATGACCTTGTAGCCACCATGTCAAATGCTTGTACTGAACTACTTTGAAGATAATTATATCGGACGGGTGATGAAAGGGAATTGTCAGATACGACCTCTGTTCGAACCAGGTCTCTGGAACAACTACAATCGTGTCCTGCCACGTACAACAAATGCTGTGGAAGGCTTCCATTCCAGTTTCCCTAAAAGCTGTGATGGGCTACACCTGAACTTCTTCACCTATCTTGGGAGACTACAGCAAGAGAACAATAAGCACGAAGTGAGCATCATCCAGTGAATCGCTGGTGCTCCCCCTCCTCCAAAGAAGAAGTACCTGGACATAGATCGATGTCTGAAAACCCTCATACAAAGATACACAGGGATTCAGAACTCAACTGCAGACGACCTACAAGAGTTGGTGCGTAGTGTCGCCAATAACATGAGTTTCTAGGAAGAGAAAACATTTCATTTGTAAGCTTCCTTTCACCATTAAACCAAAATAAAACTTTTATCTAGTAGGGTTGTTCTGTTATTTGTGTCATTGTACCTCTTCAGAGACAAACAAGGGCGTGAACTATAAATCGACCTCTAGAGATGAAGGAGATGGATGTGGTCGATAGCCCTCCTTCCGCAACCGTGAGATCGGAACACCGTGATTGGGGAACTGACCATTTGGGGATTTTGTCATTTGGGGAACTGTCCTGTCAGGAAATTGACCGTCAGAGAAATAACCATTCGGGGAATTGACTGTCGGGGAAATGACTGGACACCATTATAATGGGAACCAGATACTGCGGGATGATGAAAATACCAATATACTGCAACACCCTTGTTGCAAGCTGAAGCTCCATTGTACCCCATGTGGATCAAGGGAATTGTTGCTATGATAGTAAGCAAGATGCAATAGCAAAAGGCATGAGTGAATTGACAGCACCTGCCCAGTGAAGTCCCAGCCATCTTCAAGACAGAGCATTACAGAAGATCCTTGAAGGTCCATGAGATTGACAATAGCTCCAGCCAGCTGCATAATTGTCTGGAGCTGTGGGAACCACCCAGATGCTTCCACAACCCTATGAATGAAAAATGAGAAAAGCATTATGTGATAGATTCATAAATATATATTAGAGAATCATCATACTAGATGATCTCATCTCACTTATGGAAATTGCCCTCTGAGTTATTTGGAAGGTTGCTGGGAACACATGCTCTCAGTAGAGCCTTAAAAGCAATCTTGGTAGAGCGGACCTCTGGGAAGTCACATGGAATGAAGTCACACTTTTGGTAACTGTCTGCCTTGATCCCCTGTGGAATGTTGAAAAAGAAATATTGGAGCATAATCACTTTTGCAATGCTTATGCTCTAAAAAAATACAGAAGCTAACCTTCATTTGTGACTTTTCCCCCATGACATAGAGAGCAGCTCGGTGGAAAGTATAGACATTGTCAGCAGAGTCAGAATCAGATGTTCCACTGAAACGATTCCCAGATGTTCCGCCCCGTTGAGTAATAGCTCCCAAAGAAGACATGGATGTCTGCTGTCGATCCTTGGCTGAGGAACGCCATGTTGAGCTGAAGGGACGCTGGTAGCCCTTACCACCACTTGTGCGAAATAATGTCTGATCTCTATAATATGCAGAAGAATTCATGTAGGTAACTAAAGCATGCTGGAAAAACTAAGGGTCTGTCCATGGTGTCAGACATGATGGAGTAATATGTTTAGTATACAAAATGAATTTATCTACAGGGTTATCACGGTATATGAGGAATGATTTTAAATGCTTATATCTCGAAGATGGCTTAACCTAGAGAAGTGAATGTGGCACCATTTTAAAGCCTTTTTTTCTATCTTTTTTAGCTAACCAACTTACAAATCTGTCATGAATATTACTGTCGTTGAAGAGATGAAAAGAGCAGCGGTACTCTCGGCCCTTAGTGCCGGGAGGACCTCCAAGGAAATTACAGAGTTCCACAAGGTCGCTTTGTCCTTTGTCTACAAGATCAAAGGCAAAGTTGACCATGCTGAGGACCCAGACGACATCTCCACAAAGCGTAAGAAGCATGATCGTCGCTCCGAAACCATCAGGACCCCCGAGTTTGTTGCCAGAGTGCAGGAGATGGTGGACAACGACCCCAGCAAATCGATGAACTCCTTGTGCAAGGGAGTTGGGCATTTCATATGGTACCATCCACCGTGTTATCCATGAGGATCTACGCTCCAACTCCTACGTCCTCAAGAGAGGCCAGTTCATGGACTCGGCCATGCAGGAGAGGCGCTTGACCAAGGCAAAGAAGCTGCTTAACAAGGTCAAGCACCCTGAGAAAGATAACCTGTTGAAGTTCTTCTCAGATGAGAAGAACTTTGACCAGGACCAAAAGGTCAACAGGAGGAACGACAGGTGGCTGTGCAAGGACCCTGATGACGTGCCCAGGGTAATGCACACGAAGTTCCCCGCCACTGTCATGGTCCTTGGGGTCGTCTCCAGTGAAGGGGACGTCATGCTCCCCCACTCCTTTCAGAAGGGCCTGAGGGTCAATGCGGCTGAGTACATCAAGGTCCTGAGGGACATAGTGAAGCCCTGGATGGACACCATCGCCGATGGGAGGCCTTATGTCTTCTAGCAGGACTCTGCTCCTTCCCACAAGGCCAAGGTGATGCAGGAGTGGCTCGAGGAGAACGTGCCCTACCACTGGTCCCCGGACGTTTGGCCTCCCAGCTCCCCCGACATAAATCCCTTCGACTACTACATGTGGGGCATTGTTGAAAGGGAGACTAATAAGCAACCCCACAACACCCTCGACTGCCCGTCAGTCCATCACCGACATCATGACCAACATGGAGAGGGCCCAGGTTGCCAAGGCCTGTGGCCAGTTCCGCTCGAGGATTGAGGCCGTCATCGCTGCCAATGGCGGGTTTATTGAATAATTGCAAACTGTATATCAGGATCTGCTGGTGTGGAAAATTTCATTTTAATACATGCATTTTTTCCCATGTAAATTCATTGTTTTTCTTCATTAGTAAAAATTCCTAATTTACCGTGATATAATTGAAGGACCTTTTTTTTTCAAATGTCCAAGGAGCATTAAGAAAACTCACTCTTCAATGGGTTAAGGAGAAAGGATATCAGGTCAGTCCCTATACAAGACAAAATGACTTACTAAAAAAAAAAAAAGATACTATAAGAACTTGTAAGCATCTGGATCAAGTATTGAATGACCATTTCTTCATAACTTATTATTATTATTATTTTTTGCTTGACCTGATGGGTCTAGAGGAAGGCTTTGTAACATTTTGCCCATGGGAGTCTTAAAGAGGGCCCCTGAAAATTTTGAGGAGTCTCAATAGTAAGCAATTAACAAACCTTTTCAACTGTATGCAATTTAAGAAAATGTTCATATCCTCACTTCTATGACACACTACACTGCAAAGAGGCAATTTGATAGCACAGAGACAGATGGGAGAATGGGCATACCATGGTTGTGACCTTACATCTAAGGTCAGCAGTGCAAATATGAGCCAGTGTTTTTCACATGTCACACATTTTTCACCTGTTTTTGACACTCATGCATGAGTTGTGTCCCATGCACAAGAGTATAAGTTAAGTGAAAAATTGCCTTACTCAAATGAAAAACATTATGAATGATTTCTTGCCTCCATTCCATTCACTACTATCAGAGCTAACCTGCAAAACCTGCAAGTAAACACTATCAGAAGATAAAAGGTGGTCAGTCTTTTACCTTAGCAGTGTGTCACTGAATTGAAGAAAGGGTGTGACTTGAGAGTGTTTGGCTTCTTAGAAGCCCAAAACATTTTTTGGTGAGTCTCATGAATGCCACAAGGATGGGAAAAGTTGAAAACCTTGACATTAGAGAATGAACATGCTCCAAAATATACAAAACTATAGTGTCACGAATACAATGTGGTGGTGAAAATCATTCCATTCAAATATTGAAATAAATTGATATTGTTTCTCTCATTTCTGTTTCTTAACACGAACCTCTTTGCAGTGTAGTGTGTCATAGAAGTGAGGATATGAACATTTTCTTAAATTGCATACAGTTGAAAAGGTTTGTTAATTGCTTACTATTGAGACTCCTCAAAATTTTCAGGGGGGGGGGGTTGGTGTAGACATTGAGATAACCATGAGGTGAGGTTCTTTTCTGACAGGGGCCAAGTTTGGTTTAAAAATTCGCTGTCAAGAAGAGCCCCCAACAGCCTGGCTGGAGAGTCGAGTCCCAATAGGCCTAAGTCCAGCCTAACGTTAGGCCTACTCAAAGATAGGTTACCTGGCAAGGTTGAAGTCATTCTGATGAAGTCCAACGGTTTCCTTTCGCTAAATACATGCGTTAACAGACGAGTAACACACCTGAGTGGTCTACAGCCACGTGCTTGCGTTTGGAACCCTGCAGGCGACCATTCCTATGGCGGCCCTCAGGACTGCCAGATCCTCTTACTGCATGCTCGTGTTAAGAAACAGAAATGAGAGAAACAATATCAATTTATTTCAATATTTGAATGGAATGATTTTCACCACCACAATAAAACCACTTCCTAATTCCATATTTGATTAAATCCACTGTCAAGATCCCACTGAATAACTCTGGAATACAGCAATGTGCTAATCACAACAGATTAAGTGTTTTGTATGATCATTCTGATTCTCGGTTCTCCTCAAAGCCGTAGTTTTTTTATTTCCTCTCCACGGAAGTCCACCCTGCAAAGAGAGAAAAACCGGATGAACTCATGTTGAGAAGTGGCAGCATTCAGGTGCCGTAATACTCATGATAGAGCATGATGCAATACATGCTCTGTAATCCATAGGAAACGATCAGAGAAATACATAATTAGAAGAGTGATGCAAGGCAGATCATCAGGAAATAACTCAAAACTGGAAACAAGAATCTCATGGATCACAGTTTACTTGCTGCAGTGTTTTAAAAATGTTCTAAATTCCTGATAGCTCAGGAAGATGGAATGGAAGAGAAACTAATGGCATGCAGGATATGGAATGCCATTTTAATCCATTCCAGCCAGTGGCAGAGGTAAGTGTGGGGGGGAGGAAGGCCACCGCCCAACCCTCAAGAAGTTGGAGAAATTAGGGATAGTCTAGCCCTCCCATGAGCAAAAACCTGGATATGCCACTGACTCCAGCTCCACTTATAGTTGGGCTATTTTATTTTTCACACCAAATAGCAATAAGCATATTATGACATTTGAAAGCCATACCTCCGGTTGAGGATATGTCGGACATCATTGGATGAGAGCCTCCACGTAGATGACGGTTTTGAAGAGGAGGGGCTGCCGCTGCCATAGATATCATGAACCTCACTCAGTCTTTCCACATTGAGGAGGGTGGAAATTTGGAAGAGACGTGCAAATTTGTCCCGCACACTCCATGTTGTCACTGAGCTCAGGTAACTGATCAAAGCCCGAACTTCCTTGTCCAGTTGCAAACCTCCCAACTGGAAAAATGAGCAATGTAGATTCTTTATGTTCTTTGTTTTATTCCTGAAAATGGTTTACATAAAGTAAGGACTGACCCGATTGAAGGAAGACTTGAGAACAACCTTCTCGAGCTGGGTGGCCACTTCCAGGGTGAGAAGAGAAATGAGGCGGTCATAGTTAGAGGGTGTTAGAGATTCCTTGAATGTGCCAAGTAGACTATCTAGGTGAACAATGAACTGATGGATGAAGGGGTCATTTGCCTCATATGCGCTGTACTCATCCTGCAAGTTTTAATTTCATCTTAGAATTGATCCAATCAGAATGGTATGGAGACAACAAAGGCTGAATACCTCATTGATATCATGGCTTGTATCAAGGAAGGCATCAACCCAGGGCTTGATCCTGGGTTTGATGGCACTGTTCTTTAGCTGCTCCATCCCAAAATCAATGATGGCTCGAAATTGTCCATTACCAAGGCCTGAGAGGCTGTTTAAGCAGTTGTCAATCTTGGCTCGGTCTTTGGTTGATGGAGTTCCTACATGGTTTGTAATCTCACCTTCAACGCTCTCCCTCAATGTCTGAATGTATTCAATGCTCACACCTGCATTATTCAGTGCCCTCTGGGGAAAAATAAAACTTGGGTGACTTATCAGCATAGCTTGAAATATGTATGAACCAAAACTTCAATTAAAAATCACACCAGAAAGTTTGACTTGGCAGTCTCCATGTCAGGGGCATTAAATTTCCCCTGAATGACGACATTGTATGCCTGGGAGAGATCCAAATAACCCGAGGGAAAGCCAGATGAAAGTTCACTGCGTAGAGCTGAACAATAGGACTCCTCCACCACCATACATGCATTGTTCACCACAGCACAGAACCCATCCACACTGCAGCTAGATAGTGCTCTCCTGAAAATCATACTGGAGGTGAACTATCAAAGTAACCAGCAACTGCAAGAAGAATATAAGGATTTATCCACACCTGACACATTTCTTAAGGATAAAGAAGACATCATCAACCATGGAAGATGTGAGGACAGAGCCAGATGGATCTGTTGCATCCATGGCAACTGCCTTCTTCACACTTTCACTCATGTAGTACTGCTCCAGAGTGATGTAGCGACCTAGTAGTTCTTGCAGAGTGCAACTCACAACACAACTCTTTAAAAGAGATTCCAGAGCCCTAAGATCAGCCTCCTGTTTCCCATCATCAGTACATTGCTTCTCAATGTCACCCTGCAAATAGATAGCTGCCCTATGTTACCCTCTACTTCCATAGTTGTCTTCATGATGGAATGCAGCTCCAGGTTAGCAATGACAGTACCATGACTCGTTTCCGAATGAACCGCAGATAGAGTTCAGTCCGAGCATTCATGATGGTAACTTCACCAAGTAGTGTATCCAGGTCCCTTGGATCAAGCTTCTCCTGCCGTGAGGAGTAGGTATGACCTCTGAGGCAACTCTCCACCTGTGCCATTGTGGACACAAAGTGACGATTCTTGTGGAATTCCTCCACCACCAGCACTGTCTGATGGTCACATTCCTCCTGGAGGATCTTCACCATCAGAAACAGCCACCCATGTCCTACCATGGTGGAATATGGAAACCACACACAGTAAATACTGACTGTACTAAATTCTTACAGCTATTGTAAAATGAAGAATTATTAATTTGCCTCACCAAAGAACCTAGACAAACAACTGAAATCAGTTCTGCTCTCTTTATTTTATTCTCAAGGACTCTTATAGACATTACAAGTATATACTTCAGAAATATTGAATGTTGGAACTAGCATGGTTAGGGTTGTCTATCTCTTGATAGGTTACTCGTGTTTGATTTTTTCTCTCTCCTTTACAAGAAACTGAAGATCTCAATAGGGTCAATTTATCCCAGCAATAAAGAACAATGAATATCATGCTTTTCCCAGTACCTTACTACACAATGAAGAGCAATGATTCATACAAGGTTTGAGATGGAATAGACAAAGTATTGTGATCCTCCAACACCACTGAGCGACAGAAAAGCTTGGAAAGGTGCAATGGAAACTAATCACTTAAAAGCCATGCAAAAAGTAGCACAGAGAATAGTTTTTGCATTATACTGCTGGCTATTCCTCTATGTGCAAAGGGAGCCACTCTTTCATGCCTGCTTTCATTTAGCTTGTTCGAATTTTCTTGTCAACAGAAGCAATATGAACTTGATGCAACAAATGTAGATTATGAAGGACTCATTCAGAATGTTGTGTACCAGCTTTACAAAAAGCAGATGCATTCAATTTGGCATATTTGCCATTGATGGGGAGCCCATTGAAGTCAGACTATTAAAATATTTATGGAGAAGGAGACTCCCTGAGTCAGTACAAGTCCCTGTTTGCAGTGTGAGTACAAGGAATGCACAAGAGTAAAAAAGAGTAGCAAGGTCAGAAAGGGAAAATTGTAGGACTAGGTGAAAGGTTTTCTTCTATTTTTGGATGCACATCCCTTCCTCAGGACAAGATCAATGCACATAGGAAAAGCAAGAAGCGAAAGGTGAAAGATACCCTCCCAAGGGTGAATGCAGACAACAGGTTGCTGAGACATGTCAGTAATTGCAAAGAATGAAACAGTCTACTGTTTTGATGTTCAACCCATCTGGAAAAAAGGTTTTTAGAAAGAATACTGCTCCCAATTCTTTAGATTTTTAGATCGAGAATTTTTGAGTAAGGTGCAAGTGCAAGCAAGCACATACACAATCCAGGAGCTGCCACGGGTGAAGGGCTTTCAGGTTTGTATGGTTTTCTCTAGATTAGTAAGGCTAGAGATGACTGAAGACTGAAACATTAAAGGACAAGCTTCGTGCTAGCAACAAATTTACTAAACTATGGACAGTAGTTTGTAAAACATGGATACCCAAAACATTTCAAATGGAGCTCTTGTGAGAATGTATTCAATCCAAAGCTACAAAAGAGAGAAAAAACAAGCAATGAGCATGGCCCAATAGCATCCCTCCTTCTCACAATTCTCAAGAATTATTACAGAAAACTTCCACATCTTCAAAAACTCATCTCAGACCAAAGATTGCTTTGCACATCAACTTTTGGAACCCTTTTTTCAAACACCAAAGCTTAGAGATAAATTAATAAGCTTTCCATTTTCCAGGATGCCACTGTCTCCTCCTGGAACCTTCCCTTGAGATGGTAACAAGTGTGAAGCTTCTCCTTTGATGTTGCAGTCTCTAGGCCCACTAACCAAGAGAAAACTAGAAAATCCCAGAACCACTTCACCTGTGGCAGCTCCTGGATTGTGTGTTGCTAGCCTGCACCATCTGTGACAAGCAATAAGTGGATTCTATCAACACCCCACTCAGAACAAGGCTCAATGGACACTGGCCTGATGTCTTTAATAAAAAATGCAGTCCTATCTCCCATCACTTCCAACATAGGTCTGTAACACTCCAAGTCACTGCATTTGTTGCACTACAGCTAACACCTAACTCAAAAATTCTAGATCTAAGATCTAAAGAACTGGAAAAGGCATCCTTTGTAAATAAAAGAAAACCTTCATTCAGATGGAGTAAAAATCAAGAACAAATTGCTTCATTCCTTGTAATCACTGACATATCTCAGCAATTCTGTTGTCTGCACTCACCTTTAGAGGGTATCTTTCACCTTTCTCTTCTTGCTTTTCTTATGTCCATTTATCGTCATGCCCTGAGGAAGGGACGTATATCCAAAAATACAAGAAAACCTTTCATCTAGTCCTATAATTTTCCCTTTCTGAACTTGTTACTGCTTTTATACTTTTACATTTCTTGTACACACACTGCAATCAGGGACTTGTACTGACTCAATGAGTCTCCTACTCCATGTTTTCCTTCAGCCCCATCCTATTGCATATTCAAATATTTCAATGACATCTCAGAGTTTAGCTGCAACTTGCACTCATATTGGAATATATGTGTCAAAGTCATCAGTCATATTCATAAATAAGACTATCCAATATTCATATCTATTCAAAAAGTCCATGTCTTCAGTTCTTTTAAATTACCATTTTCAACTAAATTTCTGCTATGATCTGGGGTGAATTTTGAAGAAATAATAATGCAATGCACTGATGAAAATTGACAATAGCCAGTCACCAAATGGCAACTGGAATTTATTTGGTCAAAAAGAGTCACTGATTTTGCCAATGACTCTTACCTATGCTTACGTGAAACCTGAATGCAAGGGTTGTACCAAAAGTCTAGTCTGATATATTTTCTCTGAAACTACACATTACAGTAATGAAAACTTGGTTTCAAAATGTAGTTATTAGCTTCACCAATTCATTGCTAGATTGTAGTTTGCTGCCTGACAACTATGTGCACTGCAATCAATTTAAACTGGCAGACATAAATGAAAATGGATTGAAGCAAGGGTCTGTGACTTAATTGAAGGGCTGAAAGGAAAAGTGGTCCATCTGCAAAAAATTATTTTATCCAGCTCAATACGAACAGGAAATATTCCAGCAACCATCTTGCTGAAAATGCATAAAATTGGTTTGTGCTGAAGGCCAGTTTCTCCCAAACACATCCAAAAATCTAGTGTCTTTGACAAAAAGGAAAAGGGTGCTATTTGCAATAAATCAAGTAGATTTATCTCAGACATTTTTGCAGATGGATTGCTTTTCCTTTCCACCCTTCAATTATTGCTTGCAGAGGGCATTTATCTCTTATATCATCTAAATTCCATTTCACCTGACAGGCATGAAGGAAGGCACTTCTCCCTGGTGACCACATGGGTTCATTACTGTACAGGGTGAGCCATATCTCATACAAAGACTTTTGGTTTGTGAATATCGATTTTGAGACAGAGAGGCGTCAGATTTCGAAAATATCATCATTGCAACATAAACTTCACATAGGAATTATTAAACTTCAAAGCAACCTCCTTTTGCTTCACAAAGGCTTACAATCTTCCTCACCAGCTATGGATTGCAGCACACACCTCCTTCATCAGGAGATTGCTCCAAGCTTTCACAAGGGAGTGCTTTAGGGACTACACATTTGGATGATTCCTACTGCAGGCCATCTGCTCCAACTTGGACCAAACATAGTAGTCCATCGGATTCAGATCGGATGAGGAGGTAGGCCATTCAGCAGTGGATATGAAGCCTGGCAAATTGTCCTGGCATTGGTTTTGAGTGGCGCTGGCCATGTAGGCTGGTGCTGAATCCTTCTGGAACTACCATTCCCTATTTTTGAACAGATCATGTGTCAGGGGCGCACATGAGGCTCAAGAATATCTGCTAGATACAGGGTGGTGCACTTAAAAGTAGCCTGTATCACTCACCTATAGGAGATGCTGAAAGTGCCCCCCCCCAACTCCAGACATTGCTGAGCACATTTCAGGCAGTTCATTGCCACGGATCAGGTGGTTATGACAATGGTATGGACATGCACCAGCTTTCAAATACGCTCATAGTATGAACACTATGACTTAATAACTAACTGCACAAGTACAGGCTACTTTTAAGTGCACCATCCTGTAGTTCTCCTTTGGAATTTTGACCCCTTGATCCACAAAAACCAGGGAAGTCTTGCCCATGGCAAACACTCCAGCCCAAACCATCACCAACACTGGATGTTACATCCTCTGCATCTTATTGACACCCTCAGGCAACTCCATAACACTGTTTCCATAGACCCTGTTGTTTTGGGTGTTCCACTTAGCTTCCACATGGAATAGCTTCTCATCAGAAAACAGGATTCAATCCAATTTGTCAAGCATGAACCGCTGTAGCAGAGCCTGACATTTTTCCTTTCTGGCAAACTTGGTCCGTTGGTTGAGCATTTGAGTCTTTTGAATCTTCAATGGCTTCAACCCAAGATTCTCCTTCAGCACTCGCCACATGGTTGTATGCGAGGTATCCATCTTGATTGCCAATTTTCGGCCTCAATGCCTAGGGTTCCGCCTGATCTGTGCCTTCACATTCTTGACAAGCTTTGCCATGCAAACAGAACATGGTTGGCCAGTAAGCTTCCTGTCACTGACACCTCCAGTCTCATGATAATGCCTGAGAGTAGGATAAACTAAATTTTGTTTGTAACCACTGGACCGGAGTTGACGAAAGATGTTCCCTAGGCTTTGGCCATTATGGAACAGCTCAATCACAGCCACACACTTCAGCTTCAAGGCATCCATAATGCAAAATGTAAAGCAGTACAATATTGAAGTTTCACCCATGCATATATACCAGTTGGATGGAACAAATGGGAAAATTACAGATTGAGCTGAACTCTCTTGAGCTCTTTTAGCCTATATAGAAGTTTGTATGAGATATTTTGGCTCACCCTGTAAACATTATGATTCAGTCTTAAATTACATAATCTTGTGGGTAGGAGAAACCATGTCCAACATGTCCAGACTTTAAAATCACCAAGTAAAGTGGTCTAAGGTAATCAGACTTCTAGATCAGAAAGTAAAAATGTTACAAGAAGCCTACAAAATTTACTTACCATAATAATTCTCCACAAGAGGTTGGTGAATCTCAATAGTGCGTGCCACTCCCTCATAGATAAGAGTGAGAGCATCAGCAAACTTGACACTGCTTCGAGAATCAGAGGGTCCCAATCTCAAGGCATCCTTTAGGCTTTTTTCCCCTGCTTCCTTCAGCTAGAGAGCATATGCATCTATTAAAAAGACAATCAACCCTCATAGAAAGAGAGATTGTAGTTGTATTAAATACCCTCACATTCTTAGAGCTGCAAACAGGTATCAAATGAGTCAAGTTCCCTGGAAAAGGGGCTTGTTTGCAAAAGATACAATTGAAGAAGAGCAGCAAAACCTGAGTGAATATGACTGATCTAAATCCAGGGAAAAAAAAAGCTGCTTTTCCCTTGCTACATACACATCTCAATCATTTTTTTATCACTACATCCTATTGCACATAGCCTAAAGCAGCACATGAGCAAGGAATTAGCAAATGGGAAGTTACAATCCTGCAACTACAACTTAGAACTCCTCAATTCTAATCCTATAAAGAGATAGAGGGGAAGGCAAGGTTGTGTGATCTTAGTAGGAAGATCAGCTAACCTAAGATAGTATGAATGAATACAAAAGTTGATCATTTTTGCATAAGTAAGAATGCATTAGTATATCAATAGCAACCTGAAGTTTTCTTGACAATGAATAACAAGCTTAAACAACTGCCAGTAATTAAGCCAGACCTGGGCTGGGGAAAGATGAAATCCCAGTGAAGAAAATCTGCTACTTCAATCCTGTCCTGGGCATGAATTTCTACAGTGCTTTCACAATGAGTTCACATACACCCTAGGGGCCCTGGCACTAATGATGTTTTGACTCTATGAATATCTATCTTATACCATATCGGATATCATAAGTGAGACTGGAGGAAAAATCAGTTTTGCTGCTCTAGGTTGGTCAATAGAGAACAATGGTTTGTACTGAAAGGGTGTGAGAAATCAATGCAAAAGCACTATAGACTAATTTGCCCTCCCAGGACTCAGTTCACACTCTTTACACAGTGCTCTTCCCATTTGCTCCCATCTTTTTCCAGCACAGCTAATAAATAGACTGTGTACAGCCATGTTGGCAAAGAAAAAAAGTTCAGTCTACACTATAAAAAGGCTGAAATTTTACATATCCCTGAGGTTCAACATTTGTTAACCACAGGTGATATTTATGCAAATAGTCTCTACAACCCTGTTCCGTGTTACACTGTCTCCAGCAGTTTTCCCTAGCAAATAACATGCATACATCATTTCTCATCCTGCAATCGCATTCATGTACCCACAGTGCTACCCATTGATTTTCTTTATCAAGCAGTCCTAGCATGAAGTTCTTGTGTATTTTCATATACAGTGACTCCAGTTAATAGGCACCAGGCTTATAATCTCAAGGCAAGAGGAGTGAGGAAATAAGCTGAAACACAAGAGTGGGAAATCTTGAGGAGTGGATTACTGATCCAGTTCACAAATCAAGATTCAAGATAGTTAGTGATATCAAGAGGCGATTTCGCCCATTTCGATATCACGTGTCGAGGTCGAGCGTTCCTTAATCTTGCTGTCATCAAACTGGAAAAACCTACTACACTCGACATTATCTATTCCTTTAATTATCTTGAAAGCCTGGATGAGATCCCTAAAATCCCTAAAATTCCTCCTGTTCCAGCACTGATCCCATTCCTGGGTCCTCACTTTGGGACAGGTTTGGAGCAGGTTTTGTCAAGGGGCTTTGACAGAATAATTGGAACTGACATAAATACCACCTCATGAGCAAATGCTGGCTTCCCTGGAAATGAGGGTGTTATACATAACAATCTCTCACAGATCAACAGGAAGTCTTTTAATAATCGATAATATATACTTATAATGTCTGACTATCCAAAAACACATCAGGAGTTCTTAAAGAGGAAGTAACATTAGAAAAATCCCCAAATTACTGGGTTGGCTTAACTTCAACAGTCACTCAGAAACACGAGGAGTTGGACAAATCTATGAATTCTGCAACAACTTTGGATCCCAACTATTTGTTCCCTTGTTTCACTGGAGCTGAAGCGTCTGTGTGAGTTTCAGGTCACTTCTTCGAAGGACACTCCTTCAATGGACACTTCCCCGTGCCACTTCTTCCACTGGACAGTTCTTTAACTGGACACTGGACACAAAGAAACATCCCATCAAAGAAGTGTCTAGTCAAAGAACTGTTCATTTGAAGAAGTGGCACAGGGAAGTGTCCATCGAAAAAGTGTCTTTCGAAGATGTGACCTAGAACCTCTGTGCACAAGACCATGTTGTATTATACCTTTGATGAAACTTGAGGAAAAGACAAATTGGATGACTCAAAGTACAGAAGGATTTCTTTCATTAGAATTTCCAGAGTTAGATTTTGTCATGATCATCCTTCCTGATGAGCATTCGGCTAATTCTGCACCCCTTCTACTAAAGCCACAACACTATTCTGAGAATTCCACAACCCTTACTTCTTCCATGCTCCCTTGCCCTTCAAGGGTGAAGCTATTAGTTTTCAGGACCTTAACTTTGGCAATGATGGATAATAGTTCTTCCCATGTTCAGATTTACCAGGAGTTCAGGCATAAAGTGAGAAGGAGCACCTTGCTTCCGTTGTCCACATGTCATTATTTACCCAATTGAGATGAAAGAGCTGTGATCACAATGATGTCACAGTAAATATGGCACTGTCCATTAAACTAGATAGGGTACTGATTGAGGTTCTTACAGGAAAATGATACAGCAAAAAAGTGACATGTTATGGAATTACCCAGCAGTTTTATGAGTGTTGCAGAATTCCCAGATTTGCCCTACATTAAGAAAAATCCATTGGTAAACTTAATAAAAAGCAAAATGTGTAAATTGAATGGGAAAACTTACTTTAGAGCACAAATATGCAGAGAACTTCTTAATCCCATCCTCATGAAGATTAAGAAGTGGGAATATTTTGAAGAATCGCTCAATGGATGCACCATCTTTGTTCTTCATAGCTTCATCAAACTGTTCATAGACCAACTGTCTTAGTTGGAACTCAGCTTCCTTCAGCATTTTGAAAGCATCTTCTAAGCTGTACCCTGCTGGCATAGATTTCTCTGGCTTATCATACAATGTCCAATGCAATTGCTAAGCTAAGAGGGCATTCACAAGACTAAGAAACTCAGAACTTGTGCAACATCTAACCATCTCCTTCAACAGAGGAATATCTCAAGGTGCTCTCATCCAATGACAAGAAGCGATGGATATGAGCTGCAGCCTTTTCATAATCTTCATTCTGCAGAGCTGCTTTCACGCCTTCTGTGCAGAACTGGAGATCCAGAAGATCCTCAATTCTACGTTGACAATCACTAACTCGATTCTGAAAGGAAATCACTGCATTTGTACCCTGATTCTCTCAATCACAGAGAAAATCATTGAATAGGGGAATTTTAAATCTCACCTTGAGCATATCCAAGTGACGCACTTTTGCACTGACATTGTCAGCCAAAGCTGCAGTAAAATCGGTCATTGATGCCAACTGGGCTCCATCACCTTTCAAGTAGTGTAAATTTGATGCCATTTTCTGAAGCTTGCTGATCTGCTTAGAGATATCTCCTCTCCTTTGGAGGAGCCCATTCAGCCTCTCATTGATCTCATCCTGGAATATGGGATCATGTCAATAGGCAAGTTTCTCATAAGTACCACTTAACTTAGCAATAGCCAGAACATAAAGACTCTAGATACATAGAAACATGCTAATTCCTTTTTGAAACATGAAGCAAACTTTGAAGCCACCTCATTTTTAAGTGCACAAGCATATCAAACTTAGAAATGAGAAGCATTTCCTGCTCTTAAATGTAAACCCTTGGGTTTTGATTACATTTTTCCTTAATATTCTTTTCTCTTTTCACATATTCACTCTTCAGTGCTTGAATGTTCTGATTCTCACATTTTCATTTGGGATGAATATTTACTCTCTAATGCTCTGTATTTATATATTTGACAGTGCTATGTGAGTGGATTTAAATTACTCCATCCCTCTAAGCAGTAATTGACTTTTTATTTCTTGGCATTCAGACAGAGGTGTATTTTGGCCAAAGGGTCAGGGGAGGCAGGGCAACAGAGTGGGATGCCACACCCTACCTGAGTGATATCAGGGGAGAAATTTATTACCTCCAAGGGGCACCAGGCTGTCCTAGGGACGCCAAGGGGGGCGGCTGCCCCTGTGCCTCCCTGTAAAATATGGCACTGCATGCAAATTATTCTGGTGCTTCTCCCTATAAGCTTTCTAGCTTCCACGAACTTTTCCCCACTGAGCAGATTTTCTAATAAATCTTCTATGGTGTTTCATGTTTTTACTTACAAGAGTTTATTTTGACTATGCCCAGGCAGTTACTCTACAGGAGATGGCACATCTGAAGAATCATGAATTTCAATGAATTGCAGAATAGAATTTTTAAAATTCAAAAGCATGCACTTCAAGCGATTTGTCAAGTGATATTGTGGGTCAGAGGCAAGGACCAAAGGTTCATAATTACCAAAAGTACAAAAGCTTTTGGTCCAACAAGTTGCCTAACCATTGAATCGCTGCATGTTTCGAAGGTCTACCTTTACTCCGATGAGAAAAAAAGCTGCGTACCATACGCTAGGCCTAATTCTTATGATATGGCAATGATTTTCCAGAGATGATCCCTGAAACGACACCCACCTCCTCAACGCACAACTTCTCATACGCAGTGCGTATGTCGTCGATGTTATTCAGGTCTTGAAAGTGAGACATTATAGCATATCAAAGGAAACAGTGAGCCATGGAAACCCCAAGAATGAGCCTGGAGAAATGAGTCCAGATCAAGCTCCACGTGTTCACAGCAGAAACCGGCCAGGGAGCTGCTACCATCTACATGGGGGAAGACAGATATCAAGATGCACAACGACCGATGGTGGAATAGAATAGGCCTATTGACCCTCCGCCTCTCAGCGGCGGCCTCCATAGCTCAGTGGTTAGAGCACTGGTCTTGTAAACCAGGGGTCGGGAGTTCGATCCTCCCTGGGGGCTCGAAATCTTTTATTTTTTTCCCCCCTCTCATTATTTCCTTTCTTTGCCTGAGATTCATCAGAATACACTTATAAACCGCAACTATAGGATATTGCAAAGGGAGCGAAGATTGAAGACAGACGCTCATTCATTAATACAATCAGGCCCGGCGCGGGAAAATGCGGGGCCCCCTGCGGCAAATACATTGGGCCACCTCTGGGTTTCGGAGATTTGGAGATTTGTCCCTTATTTCATTTTCGATTATCGAAGTTACATCAGGGGAAAAAAATAAAAATCACTACATTTTCATTAAGCAAAGAAAGGAGAGGAATCTGTGTAGGTTGTCCAAAGATTTAGCGTTCGTATCCTCGGAACCTTTGCCACCAGCTCATCGATCACTTTCTTGTAATTCAATGACCTGCTGAACTCGATAGAGAGTATAGCTAGTCCAGTCAGGCGTTCTTGTGGCACGCTTCATCTTAGATAAGTTATAAACTGTTTCGGTTTGGAGAGGCTTCTTTCTGCAGATGCAACTCTCACTGGAGCCGTGAGTAGCACTCCAAGAGCGATGGACACGTTGGGATACACGGGCCTAACTACTCTTGCGAAGGAATCGCGGAGTTCCAAGAGCATCAAGTGACTCTGATAGAAGTGTACCAGACTGCGAAGCTCATCGGCGAAGTCGTTCAGCTATTGAGGTTAACCTTGGCAAAATGTGCCTAAGCTTTCCACGGGTACCATCGATGATTAGGGTTGCCACCCTTTCATAATTAGGATTGATGGTACATATTTCAGATACTGCAAACTGGTCTTAATATGGACTTTGTTTTGTCCATATTATGAACTTGTTGAGATTTTTTAAATTAATAAAGCTTAATTACAGCTAAAACGGCTCTTTTCCATAAGTCAAAAGCCGTAGGCCACACTCTCTTAGTATCAATTGGCGGCTTGGCCTTGGTATCTGTGGCATAGCTGCATGCACAAGTATGCTTCGAATATTTGTGCACATTTTCATATGTCCATATTTTGTTAAATTCAAAAAATGTGACATCGTGATCAAGGGAGACAAGAGGATGAAAACGAGGTAGACCTTTCTACTCGGACGCCTTTCTCACCTCAAGTGCCTCCAAGCGCGAGGATTTCATGCGAAGATAATGGAGGAATTAAAATAAATAAATAAGAATACTTTTCATGCTTTGGGACGGTGACGGATTTCGCCCAGCTCGGCCTTCTCGCCTGTCCAGAGTAGGAAGACCGAGGAGTATTCTTCCTCTCATTCAGAGCTTGGATCTCTTTCGGAATAACTCGCAGCGTTTAAAAATTTTTTCTCGTTTCTTTCGTTCTTCCTATCTTATTATTTATTTCTTCCTCTTGGGGCTGGGGGCCCCTGGATTCTGCGTGGGCCCCCTACGGCCGCAGGGGACGCAGGGGTACTCGCGCCGGCCCTGAATACAGTAAATAGGGTGACCAGACGTCCCAGTTTATCAGATTATGTCCCGGTTTGAGTTTTCCCTTCCATTCTGGTGTCCGGTTTCCACGTTGCAAGGAGTAATATTTGGGCATAATTTGAAAATGACCCGATTTTCCCTGAAGAATAAAAATCTGGTCACCTTATGAGAAAAGCGAAGCTGCAGACACGCTGTTCCTCAAAGGCTCTGAAACCTGGGAAGAGGAGACGTGACGACTTCATTTTGTGATTAAGGAGCACAACAGAGAGGTTACTCTCCATTCTGTGCCACGATGCTGGGGCGCAAGGGCCAATCCAGAGCATTTTTACAAACAATTATTGTCGGGGAAGTCACTCATAGTTGACAGCTTATTTCCATAAGAAATAAAGTTTTTTTTCTGCTCCATTGAAGGTTTATGAAGGAAATATTTCCTATTTCCTCTACTCGTCGGCACGTAACACTGTACTGTAACAAAAACGTGCGTTTCCATCCCACTTTTCGGGAGAGAAACTCTTGAAAGAAAGACTCTGGAACCCTCCAGCACGAATGGCTAAAATTCCCACTGCGAAACCTCCACTCTCTCTGAGTCCCCATTACACTTTTTCCAGATTGAATTCGCACCCCCTATAGGAGCGCTTCCATCAATTGCAGGTAGTGACATCTTACACTTGGGTGGTTTTGTCTATCGCCTGCTGGGGCGGAACCTCGGGAAATGTGTGTTTCCTTCAATCACCACTATAGGGGGATGGTACGAATTCAATCTGGAAACAGTGTACGCCTAAGAAAAATAGTGCCCATGGAATCTACTCATGCGAAACGGGTGCACACAGTCAGAAAGACAGGAGCATCTCCATATGCATCGCAGCAACCACAGTAGTTGGACGAACCCGTCCGTGTCGTTTTCAACGGCCATCCTCAAGCTTCTCATGTTTGCATAGTCGTGAAATGTTCTCGACATTTTTTAAGGCGGAAAATCTCCTAGTCCTAGCCCAACAGTGGCTGCACCCAATCGAGAAATCTCATTTTGGTTTGCTCTGAGTAGGGCTGTACTGGTGGTCGCATTTGGTCAATTATATTCTCATACCTACCGGCCGATGGTCATTGTGAGATGTAGAGAAAGAGCGAAGAACCTCATGAAATGAAAAGGAATCCATTTTCTGATTTTTTTTTTTTGGGGGGGGTTCATGACTGTTTCTTAAACGTCGATGTGTTGACCTATGATGCACAGATGCATTGAGGGGGGAGGGGGTGTGGCGGAGGATTCAGTGATCTCTCCTCAGGTTGGCGTGTGATCATCATGATGGGTAATAAACCATCAAAGGCTCCAACTATGGATAGTGACATTGATACATCGGTCGATACTTCATGGCATCCCAACTTCCTTTTGCTGTTGAGAATCAGTTACCGAGCCAGTTTCATATTTGTTTGTTTCTCATTTTTCTTCGTTCGACTTAGATCCCAGTGGTTGTCGATGCATCGGTACAGCCCTAGTTCTGAGTCATGACTGGGGAGCGAGTTTTCGCTACGTTTTTCCTCCACCGTTGTAGTCATACGATCCAGATTGGAGCACGTATTACCCAAAGAACGCGAAGGTTACATTTTGAGACAAAATAAAAATGTTTATTTTTGTGTTTCCGTGCGATTCTGCATAACCATGAATATTACATTTTCGCACGAAAAAATAAAAAAAATAACGCTTGGTTTACTGATTTCCAAGAAAAGCATGGAAAATGGACACTTTAACCTCCCACCTTCAATTGCAACCAACCAGGTGCATATTTAAGTACTTACTAGAGTCCTTTTAATAGTTATTATTATTATTTAGTTCATATCTGCTGCCTGTGAGTGGAAGAGTCAATCATTCCCTCTCTGGATAGAATACAAGCGCATTGCACTCAACTAATAACAGAGGTGCCTTAATATTACTTTTCAATTATTAATACCAGAAGACTTCAATGTGGTGAGGGGTGCAGCAGGAAAACTGACCATGAATTTGGAAACACAAGGGACTACAGAATTGCAGTAAAGTCCAAGGGCTCAATAAATATCCCCCATAGAGTGAGGCTGAATGACAACACAAAGCATCACATTTGCTGAAGTAAATTGTGTTTTTGTTCTCTCAGAACTTCCAGGAAATCAGATATATAGCATGACAGAAAGAAAAGGAAAGTGCTTGCAATCTGTTCGATAATTCCACAAACGACAGAAGCATCCAAGGGTCATCGTTATCACAATGAGATGCACATTCACAGGCCATGAGCTGGGTTCCTGCACATGGTGGCATCAATCTGGGTCAAGCTTGGAAGCATCAGCATGAGTTTTCGACGATACTGGGAATCATCAGCCAATGGGTTCCCTTCCAGATACACAGTGGCCAACTTTGTCAGAGGCTTCAGCTCCTGCTCCAACTCATGCCAGTCTGACAACTTGTTATCATTGAACTGAAACAAAAAATGATGATGTGTATGAAATAGCAATACAATGAAAATATGAGAATCAAAGTTTCAAACTTCATAAATGTCAGAATTTAAATACCCAGAATTCTTCCAGATTTTTTAGATGTGACAAATTCTCAATTTTTGCAATGAAGTTTGCAGCCATGTCCAAGGTCTGGATATTCAAGTTCTCCTTCAGCCCCTCCAATTTCTGGATCCCATTGTGGGAGATATAGAGCTGTTCCAGATTCTTCAGTGGTTCCAGACCAGACAGCTTGGTAAGGCGGTTGCTCTGCAGAGTGAAATGAAAAGGATTCAATGAAGTGAGTGAAAAAAAGGAGCAGCCTCATGGTGCTTTCCTGACCTGTATGCTGAGAACTGTGAGCTGAGTGAGATCATCCAGGTTTTTGATCTCCTTAATTTTGTTCTTCCCCAAGTACAAGCTCTTCAGATTTTTCATTCCATTCAAATGTGTAATTTCCTGCATGAAAGCAATAGTTTAATGATCTTTATTTAGACAAGACATTAATGTGGATTTATGTTTCATGACTAACTCGGATACGATTGTCACCCAGTTCAAGGAGCTCCAAATCCTTCAGGTGACTGATGTTCTCTATAACAGTGATCTTGTTTGCACATAGGAAGAGCTTTTTGAGTTTTGTCAGCTTCTCCAGGCCTTGGATCTTCATGAGACGGTTAAAAGACACATCAAGCATCCTGAAAAGAGACCACAATCTCTCAACCTTCTACCCCAAGGGCTAAATCCCCATACAAGGTACTATTTTGTCTGCTCTTGATCATTATGCTAAATCATTCATTGGTGATTTTTGTATTCCCAACCAGAATGGATGGCCAATGGGGAGAAATTTATGCCCACAATTGCCTCATGTTTCTGTTCATGAATCGAGAGTTGCATATAACCATGTTTAAGGTTCTTACTTTGCTTCCTTACTGAAGAAAGGCTCAGTAGCTCTATAGCACTTCATACGATCAGATATGCTTCAGACTTGAATGAATGAGGATGAACCTTCAAATTTGGACCCAGGTTTAACAGTTCCTTGGTTTGAAAATTTGAGTCTCACATGAAGCCCATTATCCAATCAGAGCAATTTCTTTCATGTAATGTACCAACATACCAAACTCCTGCCTGCCAAGCAAGGACTTGGTTAATGGGCTAATATCAGCAGTTCAATGTTTAGCAGTTTTTTAAATTTATTTTTGCTTTATTTTAAGAAAGTGAAAGAGTACATTAATTTAGCTGATCTGGAGCTGTGCATGGATTACTGAGAAATTTAACTGCTAATTACGATTTCAAATCTATTCACATTTTCAGGCAAGAGAACTGTGGAACTTGGGTCTAGATTCCAACATTCATGCTCTCATATCATCCAAAAATGTTGAAACACGCATGAAACCGTGAGGTGGTCACTAAATTGGTGACATGTCTATGCTGCTGTAAAAATAAGGGGATGGTATGGAATTGTAAAATATCCTCTTTTCTCTAGCTACCGAGCTGCAGCCTTTCTTGATCAATAAGAAAGCAAAGTGAGAACATTAAAAACAACTTACCTGCAAACCTTGATGTCCTATCCCATTACTGTAAACATGAAAGCTAATTGACAATGGGGTCAAAAAACCCTTTGAGGAATGGGTTTTTTTTAACACCTAGATCACCTGTACTGAATACATGGAAAGCAGGAGGATGTCAGCCTGTATATATATGGGCATACTCATCAAAGGGTTAATTTCTCCCATCCTTTAGCTTTGTTCATTATTTGCATTGATGTTCTTGCACAGGGGTCAGGAACCTTTTTGGCCATGTGAGCCATATTTAGATTGAGCTAAGTGCTTGTGAGCAAAATGTTTTCAGAAAAACAATTTTTCCAGAAGTTGGCAGCAGACATATGCATTCTCAGATCCATGAGGAAAATGAGAAAAAACCACAATCGACAACCATGACTTAATGAGCCAAACTTTTTGGCTCGTGAGCCAAATTTGGCTCATGAGCCATAGGTTCCTGACCCCTGTACTTGCATGTTCAGGGTCTGGCCAGTCATAACTCATTGCATTAATCAAATTTGGATGGTGGAAATAAGAACTTTGTACTTTAAACTTCATGTCTATCATTAGTTACACAGTTCCCACCATGCCAGACATGCAGAGTAGGGCCAGTTGAGAGGCCCCCAGATCCAATCATTAGACTTCTTCCTGATGGGGGATATGTCAGTTGCCCAAAATCATGTCCACAGTTGATAAATGAGCCAGAATCAGGATCCCAACAGCAACCGAATCAGTGCTACTACACAGATCCTACAGAATGTAGTGGCCTCATGCAAGTATTGTGTGGAGATATGTTGTTGCTACCAATGGAGCATATTTTCAATGTGTACAAAAATTACTTCCCTGCCTAATAAGCATGACTTTTGCCCAACTTTGTATAATAGCATTCACACCATCAAACTGTCCTCACAGACATAACTTTTCACTATCTCTCTATTAGATTGATGTCAGCAGACCCATATACAAGAATGGGATAGAAATTCAAGCTCCTCTAACAACATAGCTGTCAGGCTAAGGAAAACATGGTGTTCTGCCTGATAACTGACCAATTTAAGCATGTGTAAAACCTTTTGACTATTTCTGGTTTTCTTCATGCTGGACAGCATGAGCCTTCAAAATATCAGTCTTTTCAGTGGCCACAGGTCACAAGAGCTGATTGTCCTCAAAAAAAAAAAGCAACCAAATAAAAACAAACTGTGAGGTTGCAGAAAAACTTTACTTGGATGAAAACAGAAAGATCAGAACTCTTCAAGACCCTCTGAATGGACAAGAAAAATGGCTGTTGCAATCCTTGCAGTGCACATTTACTAACACACAAAAGACCATAAATCAGGAAAGAAAAGAATGAAAAATACCAGTCAGACACCTTGATAAGCATAAGTCGAAGATAAAGGATAAGCGTACTGAATAAGCGTAGGGATATGAAGAGAGGACACCACACAACACAGACTGCCCTCTGCCCAGAGACAGGAGAGGGCAGACATACGCTCCCTGTGAGAGGAGCCTCCTCCTTTCTTATAAGTCGTCATCAGTAAGCGTACGATTTTCATAAGCGTAATTTGACTTTCCCCCGTCCCAGAGCTAGCCAAGAGCATCTGAGAGATCAAAGTTGTCAGACTGGCACTACAACACATGTATAAGACCATCACAAGACCACAAGGATGAATCAAATTGCCATACAAGGTACCTGAAATACCATTTTAAATCAGGAATATAACATTAATGAAAGAGATGGTAACAATTTAAGGTCTCTAGCCAGGGCAGCATTAAGTTGTTTCTTTATGTCCTCTACTCAACCTAAATCATGACACCCTCGAGATCTTCATCGCAGTGAATCCCATAAACCATAACCTAGTGCTGCAAATGAAGACCCCAGTGAAGTGGCAGCATAGACTTATGATAAACCTATGGCTCTAAAGAACCTAAGGCTGCAGCTTGAGACCCTGAATTTCTGCTGCAGCTTATCTTACCCTATGATAATCCTATGGCTGCTATGGTGGCATTAGCAGCATAAGAAGTAATTGCGTAACCTAAAGCTGCTTTGAGACCTGTAGCAGCTGATCTTAGCCTAACCTACCTATACCTGCTGAAGAGACCCTCAATTGTTCAAGCAGGTAGTTAACCTTAATTATCCTAGAGAGACCAAATTGGCAATTGAGATGTTGGAGTAAGTGATGGAAATTACTCATGCTGTCATGAGACCCTGAGACTTGATTTTGACAGCATTTAGCCAAAAAATTCCTTAGACCTAAAATACCTTAACACAGTTGGATCTTGGATTCCGGAGGCACCTCCAGGAACAGTGACAAAGGAGCAACCTATTCCTCCAACCAGATGTTACATGAGCTTTTGTAGGGATGGACCAGTATGCCAAATGTCACATATTGATGGTAGAGGCAAACTCAATATGGCATAAATCTGTAGCAAATGGATGGTAGTAAGGTATGGTGGAAAGATTGACATCTGGATATTGGAAAGGTGCATCAACTACTGCCTGACTGTCTTCCTGAGCAAGAGTTTAGCTTAAACCTAAATAAAAACTAATGAAAAGTATGAGGAGCAGACAAAAAGGACAAGAAGCGTATGGCAGAACTATTTCCCCATGCCCAAAGACAAGAAGTCAAGGGCTGAAAATTTTGGAAGGATTAAAGAAAGAGCTAGGATTCAGAGAAGTGTGAATAATAAGCGTAATGGGTTGCATGATAAGCACTGGATGGATAAAGAAAAAAACTTAGCTTAAGAGACCATATGGAACTTTTCTTTCTTGCATAATTTAGGTTGAGAATGATAGAGAAAAAGAGGACCATCAGCTCTCATGCTTTAGGGCCAGCTCCTGTCTAGAGACCTCGAGAGTAAAAACACTGTATAGAAATTGATGATGATGGTCCAAAGCGTATGGGTTGCACATCACTCGGGAGCAAAACAGAGATAGCAAAAAAAAAAAAAAAAAAGAATGAGGACTATGTCCTCATTCCTGGGTTGGAAAAAGCAAGTTTCCCATGTTATGCCCTTAGATGTGAAAAGGAGCAAAGACAGCCATTATAAACATGATGGTACAGATTTGGACAGCAGGAAGCAATAGCTTTTGGTTTTGGGCATCTGCATGATGTCTACAAGCATGGTGGGGGCAGAGTTGAGATGGGATGGGCATACTCAAGGTTCACAAGGGCATCCAGGTTTTCCAGGACCGTGATCTGGTTGTCATAGAGCTCTAGTTCCTTCAAGGTTGTCAGAGGATGCAAATTTTCTATGACAGTGATCAGGTTCCAGCGTAGACAGAGATATTCCACTTTTTGAAGGTGGTCCAGGTGGGCAATCCTTCGAATGCGATGGTGGTTTAGGTCTACCTCCTGAAAAGGGAAAAATAACTTTGTAAAAATGATCAAGAGACAGAATGGGGAAAGAAGTGCAGCAGGTTTATCATGAATACTCACCACACTATCAGGATCCAGGGTGGGAGCGACACTGGTCAAGATGTCTTCAGGATTTGGATCAGGTGAGCCTCTTCCTACAAAGGCAATGGCAGAAAAAATTATTACTCAAGTACATGAACATTGGCAACCTCTACATGAGAGTTATGCAAATGAGACAAATGACCAACCTGTGCTGCCAGAATCCGAACCACTGCTGGGTATGCGGTGTCGTTTCTCAGCAGATGCCTCTTTGGAGTTGCCCTCTGATGTTTTATGAGCTAAGGCTTTTCCATCTCCACCCTCCAGGACTATGGTCTTTTTTCCCATCTTCTCACCAGTCTTCAGAATTCCTGGAACACTTAATGGTTTTCCTTCAGGACCCACTGGAACCAAGTCCTCTTGTTTCACCTCTGGAGAGGAAAAGAGCAAACATCACTTTGCAAATCATCTTGAAAATACTTTTTCAAATACAAGACCCAAGGCCCATCATGGCCTACCTTTCATCTCATCTTGGGTGTGATTGCCAGATGTAATTAGATTTTGCTTGGATTCCATTTGATAACTGATATTTCACTTCGAGGGGTGGGAATAAAAAAAAAACTCTGGTTTAAAAAGTTCAGGCCAAATCTACTTCATCGACTAAAGCATTGCTTCCTGCTGTCTGCCAGAAAGTGTTCAGGTCTCTATGACCTGCGGAGTTGGTTATTCCACACTTTCGGCTAGGCCCTATCTGAAAAAAGAAAAACCATGAGATGAAGGAAAGAGACGCTTATGAGGTAGAAACCTCAAGGACTGCTTAGGCCGGCGCCTGATGATACGCCTATGACATAACTTAGTCCAACGTACATCCTGCATGAAAACAACTCAGGTGCGTGCAGCGATCGTAAATGCGAACGAAAAATAAAATGGGGGAAAACGAGAGCAGCTAAGTACCGGTTGGAAAGAGCACACAAAGCCGAACTAACTTCCGCCACCATCTTATAGGCCCATGAATGAATTGGGTAACTGCCATTAGAGACCGAGTCGGGCTTTCGACTCAGATAACTCAGATCGCAGAATAACAAATCAATACAGTTCAATACAAAGTTCCATCTTTGTTGACAGTAATCCTTTCGACGGTCGAGATAGTTAATGTTGATCCAGTAATTTCGAATGACGCTCTAAAAAACCGGCCTTCTAAAAGCTCGTCGCCACTACCATTATCGATCTAACTCTTCTTTTTGCACCTCAATCAAGTCCATCGCGCCAAGATTTCAGGTGCCTTCTGTAAATATAGGGACTGCCAAATCACACCATTCAAATAGAATTAAAATTAAACGGGAACAAACACGTACTTCTCGACATGCCGCCATCTCAACAAGGAAAGACCATCTTAACCATGTTTCAGACATCCTTTGACACCTGAGATGTGGCAAATTGGCACGATTACTATTTGTAATGTGCTTACTTTTTGGAGAATCAGAATAAGTTTGTTCATTGTTTCACATGGTCTATAAACAACGAAAACAAGTCAGAGTAACTATGAAAGGAAGACACATAAGCAAATCACAGTTCGTAACCAATTCCTTCCTCCCAAGCCTTACCTTCCAAAGGTTGATATCAAATTTTTAAGGCAAATATGATCGGATTGTTCTCTTCCTTCGGTTTTGCCTCACTCCTAAGCATGCAGCAAAAAAAAAAAGTTCCATCCTTGAAGTATTGAAGGTTACTTGCCATTACATCGCTTAACAATATTGCAGATCCTTTCCACTACCGAACGAAGAGGATGTTCGCTCCCTAGGGTTCGCCTCTAATTATAATTAAATATAATTAAGTTCTAAAAATATTTCTGCGGCCATGCAAGACTTAACCAAGTTTATGTACGATATCTTACGGTTCCAAGGAAGTCAGGTCAAATGAGGAAATTTTTACAATTTTTTAGACTTCGATTTCCCAATGATTAAACTGGGAAATAACGGACAAGTTATAAATCTCTATTTCTGCATCATGTACGCGGCTTAATACACAAATGCGCTGCAAAACTAAAGTGAGGTGCCCCTTTGAGTGTTTTGTACTTAAAAAAAAAAGAAGTAATTTTCAAATATAATCAGGTAAACATGAAACCCACCTCCAATTCAAGGTTTTTCAGAGTTTCTCTTAAGTGCAGAGATATCGAAGCACACATAAATAATTTGGAGATGAGATGATCAAGACAAGATATATTTATTAATGTTTTTTTTGTTTCCAGACATTTCTTCGGACTTTTTGGGGTCGCTCTACGCATGTAGGCTAGGTCAATATACAAATTCTGATATTTCTAATCTGAAACTGAGCTAATGATAATGGTTCTCACCGGCACTGGCACACCTTATTTCCAAAAAAAATTATTGCCGGCTTGGTGATGCTTGGTCCAGTTTGATGTCACCACGTTGGGCCAATTTCATTTTTCATCTCTAAAAGAGATTTTTAAGATTTTAAACAAACTTTTCTTTTCAGCCTGTATCTATACGACATTCTGTTTGAAAATTATCCAGATTGAAGAAAACAAGCGAGTTACATGAAGAACTCGCCAAAAGGTGAAGTGCGTGAAAATTCTGTTTAGTTCCCATAGCATAAGGATTCCTAAGGACATGAATGACAGGAAGTGCGACGCTTACGCTGCTCAAGAAAAAGGCTGAATCCACAAAAAAAATGTACATTTGCCGAAGAAATGTGGCATATTAGAATGAAAAAGTGTCATTCGTTTATAGGTCAGGCCTCGTCCACACCAGAAAGTTTTCTTGCATGGACGACGAAAGAATGTTGCAAAAGAAAGACTTTTCTCGGGAAAATGTCAAATAAATCTTCCAGAACATTGAAAATCTTGCATATAAAACTTTCAGAGTCCTTACCACGAAAGTTTTACTTGCAAGTCGACTTGCAAAAGAAAAATTGTATAGAAAACCTCCTGATGAGGACGAGGCCTAATACTTGGAATTACGTCTAAATGAAATATGACTTGGCTACTTCCCAGCTTCTGACCCCTATTGAGTTAAAAATTAGCATTTTTATAATCGCTCCAATAAACCCTAATAGGAAATGCATGGGACTGACTTCGCGAGTTTCCAGATTCTCAAATATATATATACCTGTATATCTTTAAGATGTGCAAGAAAAAAGGCGTCGAAAACAGAACAGCAAAAAGTTTCGTGCACTGCCAACCTGCAGCTTCTATCAGGATGAAGATGGCATGAACCATGTAGGAAGAGGTAAGGAGTTCAAGGCCGGGGAGCCTGCGGCAAAGTCAAGTACACCCGCAACCCCGAGGCCAGGAAGCGTCCTCGACCTACAGCCCAAAGGGGAGAAAGGGAAAGGGAGGGAGACGAGCGAGCACACGCACAGACACACGTCCAGAGCCTAGCAGAACTGGATCCCTTCTGGCGCTGCCTGGAGCAAGGCGACGACCTTTCCATTCCCTCTTGCGACCTCCCTCCCGACGGCGTCACCACGGATGCCAGATGTTGTTTCTCTTCATGACCCTCTTCTCGCACAAACACGAGACCAAATGGTGAAGGAGCACCGTCTTCACATGAAATGATCATTTTACTCGACTGAAGGCTCGGAATGCCGCATGAATCTCTCCCATTATGAAAAATCATGCCAGATAAAGAGGAATAAAGATTGGACAACCGTGCCGGTCGCAATCTTTGAACACGATCTGAGACAAGGAGGGGGCGGAGCTGACATGTGTTCTTTCTTTCCTCTCCCTCCCCCCTTTTCCCTCTGATTAGCATCTCACTGATTGCACACTGAGCCCTAGTTCCCCCAAAGCACTAGATCACCGACGATTTCTCTTTCCACCCAGGAAATGGAGTGGAAAAACACATTCCTCTGGTGCTGACCCCGGGGCTTTGTCTTCCAAAATGTCTGCATAAAGTTCTTTCCTTGTCTTTCTGTATTTAGGGTTAGATACTTGTGCTTGAAACTCATGGAAAAACGAATTTTGACTCAGTCCTAGCAGGCGTATATCTTTAACTTGGTTTGAACGAAGTGGGGTCTTCATTAAATCGCGCACCATCAAATAAAAGAAAATTAGCAATTGCAAGCAAAATGATAACAAGCCTCGTTTTTTCAAGATTTAATACTAACATGAACATGGGATGGAGGTAGATAAGTACAAAGTTTACTCTATTCAGTCAGTCATGCAAAAAGTATTAAATCAAAATTTTGAACTTCCATTTATAAAAATAAAGGTGAGTATGGGTATATTTTGCACCCATGCTGATAAAGCTTTTAAACTGAAACAGAAATAAGAATCCCGACACCCACGTATGAATTTCTTTCCTTAAAAAATCCAACAGAGAAGCATCCGTTGGAATGCTGAGGACCCTTCCAACAGAGGGGGGAAGCCTATTTGGAAGAAGAAAGGGCCATTCTTGGATGGAGGAGGGAAAGATGGGAAAGATTTTTGTTTGAAGAAGTGAGGCCTAGGGCGGTTATATTTAGCCCAGTTCCACAGAGCTTTCACCTCGTTTCTCGTTCATTCACCCCCTTCGTCACCTTCACCTGAACTCTCTTCGGGTTATCTTTTTCGAGCATTTTTCAGAAGAATTAGTCTTGGTGAACTCGGTGCTCGTCATAATCTCTAATGTTGCAAAGGAATTCTCGCTTCTCGCCTGAAGCGTGATAACACCGATCAGAAATTTTCTCTGAAAATTGATTTTTTTTAAAATAAAAATCGCTCTCGGCAAATGAAAAATAAAAATCTGATTTTCTGAAGTTTGGTTCATTAATCCTTGGGAGCCTTCACCTTCAGAGTACATCCCCCAGGAAGTCCTCCTTTTGTTACTGTTGGTTTTCATTTTACAAAACAAATGAATCATGCATAACATAGTTAATTATATGCAATATATTAGATAGGGGATCATAACCAAGATAAAACATGAACATTAAGACAAGCATTTCGAAGCTGGATCTATGTAGGAAGGCTCATGGGAATATACAGGAAAATATGGGTCACGGGTCACTTGAGGTCAGAATCAGGTCTCTACAGGGACGCCCAGAACAAGGGGGGGATCCCCCCCCTCTCTCTCTCTCTCCTCCATGTAACTGAATGGAGGTCAAAAATCTTGAACGCATCCCTGGGCCTCTGAGATGAATTGCCTTTGCCCATGCTCTGGACTCTTTTTCGGTAGCAAAGGGGTTGTGTGAGAGCGATGACATGAGAAATGCAGGTCACCTGCTATCTTAAGGATAGGGCTATTAATCCTGGGGAAAGCCGAAGGGCTGAAGGGTGGAGTTCCTTGCAAGGGATAATCTGAGAAAATACATGAACGGGCTTGAGCCATGCCATGACAACTCTTGATCGACAAGTACTTCGTGCTCGCAGTGGAATGTTGAAGAGAGCCAGATGCCACAGTCTGGAGCATCATCAAATGAATAATATACAAATATATGCATTTTCATTTGTGGTTATTAGTTTCATTCAAATAATCATGCAGGCCTAGCTCATGACGACCCAGAAAAGAGGGCGAAAGGTCATCTTCGAAGGCTTCATATCGTATATGAATATACTGTATAATACAGGGTAGGTAAAAAAAAGGTAACTGAAAATTAGTTTTTTTTAATTTCAGGGCAACATTGGATAATTATCATGCCTCAATATTCTGTTCTTTCGTATGGATGATGGAGCAGCATTTTTTTTTAGTAACAAGTGTATTTTTAGGTTTTTAATCCACTCGATTGCATCAGGAGAGTAATATTCTGTTGAGGAGCGTGTCGAACACT